TGATAGATTTACTGATTAGATTAATCTTGGATGTAATCTTGCTTTTCAAGATTTTGGATACTTCTTTTGAGCCCCTTCTTGCCTGCCTGGTTTCTTTGGAGAAATCAGCTGATAATCTCCTGGAAATTCCTTTGTAGGTAACTGCCTCCTTTTCTCTTGCTGCTTTTAAGGTTCTCTCCTTATCTTTAATCTTGAGCAATGTAATAATGATATGCCTTGGTGTGTGCTTCCTTGGGTCCAACTTCTTTGGGACTCTCTGAGCTTCCTGGACTTCCTGGAAGTCTATTTCCTTTGCCAGGTTAGGGAACTTCTCCTTCATTATGTTTTCAAATAAGTTTTCCATTTCTAGCTCTTCCTCATCTCCTTCTGGCATCCCTATGATTCAGATGTTGGAAAGTTTAAAGTTGTTCTAGAGGTTCCTATGCCTCTCCTCATTTTTTTGAATTCTTGCTTCTTCATTCTGTTCTGGTGAACTCTACTTCCTTACAGTCCAAACTGTTGATTTGAGTCCCAGTTTCCTTCCTGTCACTGTTGGGTATCTGTACATTTTCCTTTATTTCACTTAGCATAGCCTTCACTTTTTCCTCTATTTTGTGACCATACTCAACCAATTTTGTGAGCCTCCTGATTACCAGTGTTTTGAACTGTGCATCTGATAGGTTGTCTATCTCTTCATTGCTCAGTTGTATTTTTTCTGAAGCTTTGATCTGTTCATTCATTTGAACCTTTTTGTTTGTTTGTTTGTTTGTTTGTTTGTTTTCACAGCCTGTCACTAATAAGAGATAGAGCCTTAGTTATTCACCAGGGCAGGGCAACCCTCACGCTAGGTTGTGGTGCTGTATGTGAGGGAGGGGTCTGAGAGGACAATGCCAGATCTCTGTTGGCTTTCAGTCATTTCTGCAACTCCCCCCAATCAAATTGGCCATTCTCGAGCTGATTCCCAGTGGTAGATGGGCTTGTGTACATTCTAGGACTCTGTGGTTCTCTCCAATGAACTCTCCTGTGAGGCTGGGAGTTTCTCCCGATGCTCCCTTAACCCTTGCATATTTTTTCAGTTAGAGGTCTTGAGGCCTTATTTCCCCATGCTAGAACCCTGGGTTGTGCGATCTATTTTGCTCCCCAGTTGTTTCTCCTGGTTTACCTGCATGCAAATGTGGGACCACCCACTCCACCAGCTGCTGCCTTGCTGGGTCCACCAGTTGCAACCTTGCTGGGAGTCCTCTCTGCCTGGCTGCCCATCTCTTCCCCTCTTACAGGTCTGGATGAATGTTTCTTCTTTAACTCCTTGGTTGTCAGATTTCCATACAGTTTGATTTTCTGTCAGTTCTGGTTGTTTGTTTTTTTTTTAATTTGTTAGTCTTCTTCTTTTGGTTGTATGAGGAGGCACAGTGTGTCTACCTCTGCCTCCATCTTGGCCAGAAGCTGCATTGTTATTTTAATTTGCGTCTCTCTCATGGCTACTGACATTGGGCATCTTTTCATACGTCTGTGGGCTATGTATGTCCTCCCTGGAGAAGTGTCTATTCAGGTCCTTTGTCCATTTTTTTGGTTTGCAGAATGTCACCCAATCCACTGAACCACACCAGTCAGGGCTCCTTTGTCCATTTTTTTTTATAAGTAGATTTTTTTAAAGATTTTATTTATTTTTAGGGAGGGAAGGGAGGGAGAAAGAGAGAGAGAGAAACATCAATGTGCGGTTGCTGGGGGTTATGGCCTGCAACCCAGGCATGTACCCTGACTGGGAATCGAACCTGCAACACTTTGGTTCACAGCCGTGCTCAATCCACTGAGCTATGCCAGCCAGGGCCCTTTGTCCATTTTTTAATTGGGTGGTTTTCTTCCTGGGGTTGAGTCGTATATGTTCTTTATGTATTTTGGAGATTAAACCCTTTTCTGTTGTATCATTGGCAAATATGTTCTCCCATATAGTCAGTTCCCTTTTCATTTTGATAATGGTTCTTTAGCCATGCAGAAACTTTTTAATTTGATGTAGTCCCATTTGTTTGTTTTTTATTTCCCAGGGCTGTGGTTTTAATTACCACCTATCCTTATGAAAATGAAGCCCAAATCTTTGTCTCCAATGGGAATTTCTCTTGACCTTTAGATCCATATACTACCACCTGACCCTGTAAATTCAAAATGCTCCCAAAGACCCCCACATACACCCAAACCCCAAATCTGCTCCTTCAGAACTCTGCGTTTTACTGAAAGAGTCTATTGTCTCACTCATCTGTGGCAGCCATAAACATGGGCATAACATTTGGCTCCTCCTTTACCTTCACTGACCCATTCCTCAATCAACCAACAAAAATCGTACTGATTTTATTTTCTAACTATCTCTCAAATCCATCACACTTCTGTCTCTGTAAGTTGCCTTATTCTGCATTATAATGTTTGCCTAGACTATTGTAACCTTCTGAATGATATCTCTTCCAATAATTTTATCACAACCCAATTTATTCTTCGTATTTCAATCAGAGTGCATTTTTAAAATCCTCACCCAAGGACATGTTTATTGATTTTAGAGAGAGATGAAGGGAGAGGGAGGTAGGGAGGGAGAGGGAAACTTTGATCCGTTGCCTCCCACATGTGCCCTGATGGGGGGTGGATCACGAGCAGGCTAGGCATGTACCCTGACTGGGAATCAAATCCAAAACATTTTGGTGAATGATTTTATAGTCTAACCATTTTTTGCTTTTCCATATTGTGCCATCCCTGATTTTACCTGTCCCTTTTACCAAGCATAAGGTCACTAGGTCATGTTGAACATTTTTTACTCTACACATTCTGTATTCTCTTGCTTCTAGTACTTAACATGTGCTAGGGAACCCCCTGACCTAAGATAAACATCTCTTGTCCTCTCTATCACCACACCCATTTTCACTTGTAAAACTGTTTAAGTACCTATTTGTTTCTGTATCATCTTCTCTAAAATCCTTCCTCAAAACTTTTGGGTCTGGAGAGTGGAACCAATACCTCTCTTATTCACCCTGTATCCCTAATGCCTAACTTTGTGTCTAGAGTATAGTAGGCACTAACATATTAGAATAAAAATTTAATTTTTAAGTAGTTTTAGATTTATAGGAAAGTTACAAAGATAGTACAAAGAATTTTTTTATTGGCTTGCAGCTTTTTATGTTAATATGATACATTTGTCACAACTAATGGACCAATATTAATACTTAATTAATTAAAATCTATACTTTGGAAATTCAGATTACCTAGTTTTCACCTGATGTTCTTTTTCTGTTCCAGGATCCCATCCAGGATACCACATTACATTTAATAGTCATATCTCCTTAGGCAGCTCTTGGCTGTGATAATTTCTGAGACTGTTCTTGTTTTTGATGATCTTGGAGAATTTTGAAGAGTACTAGTTAGGCATTTCATGGAATATCCTGCATAAGTTTTTCTGATGTTTTGATCATAATTAGACTGGCATGATGGGTTGGGAGGAGGAAGACCATGGAGGTAAAGTGCCATTTTCATCACAGCATGTGAAGAATACATTGTCACTATGATGTCACTGTGATGTTATACTTGATCACCTACTTGATACAGTATTTGCCAGGTTTCTCTACTATAAAGTTACTCATTTCCCTCCCTTCTTCTATACTGTACTCAGGAAGTCACTATGTCCACACTTCATTTAAGGGATTACAAATTAAGTTCCACTTCTTTGAGGATACTGCTTGTTGTTTGAGCACTTTCTTATTTCTGGTACAAGAAAATATTTCAGGATCACCTTGTATATTCTCTGCCCTATTCCTGTAATCAGGCATTTCTCCAAGGAGCTCTGGTTCCTTATATTTCAGAATATTTTAGAAACTATAATCTGGGCTTTGGGTGGACACTAACAGTTTTTAGTTAAAATTTGGATTTATCTTTAAAAGGCACAAAAGTACATAGAATAATGTATATTCCTATTACTGAAAATGAACAAATGTTCTTTCCCTTTATTTTGCTTAAGATATATTTTAAGAAATAAAATTTATCAGGTTGAAGGCCAGTTTTCCCTTCCCCAATCTTAAACCAATCCCTGTCTTCCCAGAAGCAACTACAGTCTTGATGTGTACACTTTTTTTTCAAGGATGCATGGAATATTTACAGAAACAAATATGTGTTCAAGAAAAGACTGGCTTTTGGGTTGAGTGGCCAACGTTTTCTGGGCTGTATAGTTGATAGTTTTGTCTCTTCCCTCAGCCATTTGTCTACACACTCAGTCCCTTGCATTGCCATTGCAGCTGGTGTTCCACTTATCACTTCTCTCCTGCGGTAAATTGTCTCTGCTATTGTTTCCAGCCTCTCTCTTTCCTAGTCTGTTTCACCCCAGCTTTGAAGGCAGTTTCTAGTGTCCTCCTCATCAAAAGGGAGAAGACAAATAACCTGGCATTGCAGACTTCAATAATAACTTTTTACAAAGCAAATTGTAAACTGAAGAGTAATAGACAAATACAAAATCTCATTGCTCTATTCACAGTACAAAAAAAATGGTGGGAGGAATGAAGTATATCATTCATTTGCTTGGAGTAGTTGACTCTTTAACAGCAATTTTTAGCTTGAAGACATTAGCAGCTGCTTCTAGGTATTTTGGGTTCTACTTCTGAAAGTTTGGGGCTGTCAGATTTAAGACCATTGGGTATCTGGAAATTGGGATCATTAATTTTATGGTTCTTCATTTTTATTTTATTTTTTTAATAAATACTCTTCTTCCAAATTTAGTAATACCCCAAAATAGAGAAAAGGCTTACTATTGAAGAGCTTGCTCATGAAACAAATAATTTCTCCAGCAAGTGACTTAAAATGAAAGGCTAATTGTTAATTATGAAGTGAAAAGCTTTAGATCTAATCTCCATTCATAGAATTGAGTTTGCTTCATGTGCAGTTTGGTTGTTAATACCATATATGTAACGTTGTCCACTTACTAAGGTTAACAGAAATTTGGGGGTTGGGGATTTCTAGCCCCCTTAATAGTAAATATATCTAATTTCTTCCCACAGCTTACACTTATTTTGACAAAAACAAACTTGAAAGTAATTACTTGAGGGCCATTTGGACAACATCTGGATAATCAAAACAGGCACAATGAAGCACTTCCTGAGGTAAGTGTTTCTAGTTTGCTAGATGAACACTCTAAAATGGAGAAACTTCTTTGCCAATTATGCTAATATTTCTGTTCTCTATTTGTGATCCAGTAACCAAGTCTCACATTGTATTTTGGCTAAGAATAATTTGGTCAGGAGATTCTTCTGCTGACTTCGTGTGCACATTGATGTGAAAGAGAATGCTTACAAGGGGTAGGTCACAGGTGATTACAAAAGCGTATGAACACAGAAGCACAGGGCAGAGAGTGCTTCAGATGACCTTGACGTTATGTGTCGCTAAAGAGTGGCATACTGCTGGCCTCAAAGTTGAGGTCTGAGGATTAGTAGTCAAAGAATCAATATCACTTGTATAGAATCATTTTCCTGAAATAAGTCATTTTAAATATCCTTTAATTTAGAATTTGCTTGGCTGGCCAATTCATACAGGTATTTTCAAATGCTCCTTTTTGGTAACAATAGACATTCCAAGCTTCTGCTCTTCCTGCCTCAGTGATGTCCCTGAAACCTGCATTAATGGTTGACTCCCTGAAGACTGCTGTGTCGAGCACTGTGTATGTTGGTACATGTTGGGGGGATCTTGTTTTGTTTTGAAAGCCATTTGGATGGACCTGTAATTTTAATTATTTCAAGAGTATTGACCACTATTCACAATATATTAATGAAATTGTCAAAGAAATTTTACATTATACTAAAATATGACAAAAATAAAGTTAGCCTTGCCCAGAAAATTAGGGGAAAAAACACACATTCCAGAACATTGAGTTTCTTTCCCTGAAGACAGAGGCCTATCTCTGTTATGCATTCTTGTCCCTTGCACTGAGCAAATAATTCGTGGGCCTGCTTCTTTTAGGCAATGTTTTCATTCTTTTAGTGGCTGCAATTTAAGATTTTCTTTTCCCCATTGGTTTTGTTTGCAACATGTTTCTGGAGCAACTAGATCAATTTGTGTGGGATTCACTGTGTTTTGGTGCAGCTACTGATGTTTACTGGATCTTGCAATTGTGAAAACCTCCCTGGAGGTCACTATTAAACTGTTTATAGATATTAGCATTTATAAGCATACTCTTTAGCCTGTTTATCTCAGCTGAGTAAAGGAGAGCATTTGAAAAATCAACTAGATTTGCCAGCAAAGTATTTGATCTGATAGGTTTTTGGTTGCCATGGTAATAAACCCATCTGTTTGCACATTCATGAAAAATTGGTATGGATGAATCCCTCCTGCATATAAACATGGTGCATTTTAGTCACAGAATAATGTTAACTGAAAACTTTAGTGTTAGATGAAGCTTAGACATCAGGAGCTCCTTTCATGAAAGGGAAGATGGTAGTGGTCAGGTTTGTGCCAAGATGTGTGCTGCTGGATTTCTTCAATGTCTTACTGGCTTTAGAAAAATTTGAGTAGGCTCAAAACCAGCCATTTTAGGAGGAATAAGAACATTTTTTTCTGTTAGTTTTTTGTTAAATTGAATAGGTGTAGCACCGTGTTTGGTGCAGATGATGGTATTTTAAAATTAAGTTGTATTTGGTGTATTTGATGACTGGTATGGGAAAAATCTTCCACTGTAATTTCACATAGACTAGCATCAAGGATAATAGAAATAGCACATCTGTCAGTTGTGTGTTTTGATGCAAATTTTTCTCTTTTAACTTGGCACATATATTTTATAAATATTACTTGACATTGTTTATGTGAAACTGTGTCTACAGTAATAGGTTACACATCAAGAAAGAAACTTGAGGGTTTTCATTGAGCATTGGTTTTGATAAACGGAAACGCAATCATGCCCCTCAGATGATTATTACTTTTGGCTTTAGTTTTTGTTTTTAATGCTTTTAATTAAATTATAGTGTGTGTGTGTGTGTTGATTATATGTTATATGAAATTTGGAAGGTTAAGAGGGCAAGGAGTAATAATCCTGCATTACAAGTTGTATCAGATAATTTAAATTGCCTTTTATTCCCTGTAGTCCATCCCTACAGATGTTGGACAATTTGGCAGTTTTTTTATTTGAACTGAAGATAAGGTTATGCAAACATAGCCTGGATAAATCAGGTGTTAATTCCTGAACTCAGCAAATATATTATGTAGAATAAGGACTTAACTTTCCCTGAGAAAAATTCAGCATTATTTAAAAACCCACAGAGTGATTAACCTGTCAGCTTCTGAATTGCTCCAGAATGAAATGCTCCATGTACAGCCACAGAAGAAATGAGGTTAATCATAAAGAATCCAGGTTGTGGGAAAGAATGGATTTTAATCCACATTTACAATACATGGTACCCACACTCTGCTCTCTCCAGCTTACTGTTACCATCAGCTATATTAATGACATAGCTAGTCAGAGTATAAAGGAGTGAGAAAATGTTCAATGTTTGTTTTTAAAAAATTATATATGATATTAGAAATAAATGCTATAGATTAGTACCCCTGGCTGAAGGATGTATTTTGAATTGACAATAGAGATAGGGTATTAGATAAGCACACTATAGTCATCCAATACGACTTTAGCCAGGGTCTACATTCAAAGAAAATCAGGGTTTAAATAGGGAAGAAAGTGTGTCTGTGTATTTATCAGAAAAAGAAAGGGCCCTTTTTAAGCCCCAAATAGAACTGAGGCTTAGGGTTTAATTTATATAATATAATTTATTAATTTTAACTCAGTTGATGTATATAGTAAGAAGTCCTAAGACTTGTACTGAAGATCTTTTCCCTTGATAGGATTTACTTATTGAGGTTATATTTTTAAAGCCATCAGACATTATTAATTTCGAAAATTTCTAATACAGTGAATCTTTTAAGTCACCCATGTAAATAATTGTTTCCAAAAATCCTGGCCTCAGGATCTCTTTCTTGGCCATAGACTTCACTGCCTATTTTTCTTCCTGAAGCAGGAGAGAAGAAAGGGAAGCATCTGCGAAACTCAGACCTCCAAGGAAGACACTGAGCAATACAGCAGACTTGTACTCAAGTTCTGGCTGTGAAGCAACTGAAAGAAAAAAAGTATTTTACTATTATAATTAGGTAAATAAAGGCTTCCAATGAGCAAAAATATCTGTAAATTGGGTTTTATAAGTCATTCACCCTGGCTTAACATCTCAGTCCACTGACTCAGTCAGTAAGCATTTACTGCTAACAGTTGTAGTACTATGCTACATTTTAAATTATTATTTTCTATTAATAACAATTGTAAGAGACTAGGAATTAATATCCCATCTTACAGTGTAGGACACAAAGGCTTAGCAAAGTTAAGTTGCTCACCCAAGGGCACACTAATATTTGAATGCAGGCCTGTCTGACTTCAAAGCTGTTTCTCGTTTTTTCTGTATTGTTACTTCTTCAGTGTGTGTCTACTGTGAGCTGTAGTGGGCTATGCGAAAGTCAACATGAGGTGGTCTCTGCTCCAGAGTAACATACCTCCTGGTAAGGAGATGAGGCACACACGTGCAAAACTGAGATATGAAAAGGAATGTGGTTAGTGACAGTCTACAGACATTTTGTGACAGGAATATTTGGGGCTTCACTGAAGTGATATTGAGGGAAAAGGAGGACTAGGGTGTTCATATTGTTAAGTAAGAATAGAAGGTGTGGGAGGTGGAGAAGACGCTGTCAACAAAGCCTGAGGAAGTGTGACCAGCTGCCACAAGCAGCAAAGTGTTCAGGTTTGATGATTGTAGACCCTGTTAGGGTGACTATAAGCTAAGATGCAAAGATCAAGTTAGGGACAGTTCTTGGACACCTTTGAAAGCACAGGAAACCTAAGGTAGACCTTTAAGAGATGGGAGAGTCAGATGAAAAATCATTTTCCCTTTCAACATATATCTAGCCTTCCCACAGAGCTAAAAATCTAGTCCATTCCCTTCACCTTACAAATGGGAAGGCAGAGAGAGGCCCAGAGAAGCAAAGTAGCTTGTCCACAGGCAAGTGGCAAATTGACCTAGACTTAAAGTTAGACTTCCAGACACTTCCCTTTTTAGTTAGGCAGTATTTCCAGTCAGCACCCACCAATTTCCATTACTTTTGAGGAGCAGAAGGTTCAGGGTCATATCGTTGTTTCAGAATTTTATTAGCATTACTTGAGGCACCAACTGAGCTTGTGAGATGTAGAAGTTAAATCCTGAAAAGGGTGTTATGGTCCCAACATCCAAATACCACTCTCACTCTAGGCAGGTGCATTTATTCAGAACTTTTTCTTTTTTAGGATACACACACACATCATGTATATGTAGATATATACAACATACATGTATATGTATGTGAATATACACTGTATACACACAACTACACATATATCTACACATACACATATTTTAATTTATTTTGTTCCCTGCATTTAAACAAAAACTTTGCACACTCTTGCTGAAATATGTTAACCTGAATAGTTTTCTAGGCAATATTCTGTAGGTGACCCCACCACAACCTGCCCATGCCATCAAGTTGCCATCAGAAACTGATTTATTTACAACTTGATCACCCACACTCCAGCTCTACTGCTCCTTGGTTTTCTCTCAGCTTTTCAGGGACAGCCCCTGGACACTTCACTGATCCTTCAGTCCCTCGCACAGAGCATGAGATAAGTGAAAGCCCTGAACACTCAATAAATGTTGGTTTGAATTTTATTCCTTTAACTACTGTATTTTTCACTTTTGTTCTGAAGTGACTAAGGCATGCTGATTTTCCTCTTGTTTTTGCCTCCTTGTCAGGATAATCAAGGATTGGCTGTACTGTCCAATCTCAAAAGAAGGCGCTCTCTCCTCTGCCTCTCTAGCATTCTAAACAATTTTTTTAAGAATTATCACAGTATTTGTACTTTTGGGTTTTTTTGTCATTTTTCTAACTAGACTATAAATTCCTTTAGACAGAGGTGGCATGTGGTTGTGATAAAATTAAGTTCTTGACTCATATTTGCTTTTTCCCTTACCATAATCCCCACACCTTTTCCTCCTATACTACAGCCAGTCTTCTAATTTTGTATTTGTTCAGTTTAGTGAAGGAATGA